CGATACCGTTCTGCCGCTTTAGCGGTTTAGCTCTGCTCGTGTGGCGATGATACCCATTTGCCTTCCCTAAAGGTAGCCTGCTGGGCAGGAGCTGTTTTGAGCCTGTGGATTGATGGGGCTTGTGCCAGCCCTGCCTTGAATAGCATCCTCTGTACCTTGCTTTGCCTTACTGTGTCCGAGAAGGATGCTCATGTACTTCTGCAACTCTGTGTGTTTGCAGGGAGGTTTCTACACCGGCCTTTTGCCTTCTGAGGATCTCCTGCCCTGCTACAAGGATGTGGTTCTTGGAAAAGATCAGAGCATCACATGAAAATGGAAACCTACCGAGCTCCTCCTTCCTGGGACCGACAGCTGGCCAAAATCTGCCTGAAAAAGCCCGACTGGGAACTGCTGCTTTTCCCAACGTGCTCACCCCTGACAGAATTCCTGAATTCTGCATTCCCCCCAGGCTGACCAGCTCTGGTCCTGTAAAGGGCAGTGACTCCCACCAGGACCACAGTTCAGAGGATGCAGACCTTAATTCTGACTACAGCCCCAACTCTTTGCCACATCTCATTCAGGTGGAAAGTGCTGAAGAGATCCCCGCCGTGCAGGAAGAAAGCACCAACTCAGACCCACAGTCCCAAGCAGCACTCTCCCTACCTCACTTCCCTAGAGCCCCCACTTCCTATGGCTTCTGCACTTTGCTGGAGAGCCCCCACACCAGGAGAAAGGAGTCCATCTTCCACGGTGGCCCACGTGGTGCTCTATCCAGCCTGATGCTGTCTCGATCCAGAGCTAACACGTTCAGTGGCAAAGGGAGCGTGTCTAACCCCATTGCTATCAGCTTTGCCTCTGTGAGGCTGCCTCCCAAGCACCTCTCTCTGCACAGGCAAGGCGCCTGTGACAGTGATACTGCCTCCTCCAGCGATTCCTCTCCTTTCAGCTCCCCACTTCTCAGCCGGTCACCTCCCAGATCCTGCTCCCTGATCAAAACACACAGTCAGGAGGGGCTGCTTTGCCGAGCACTGAAAGCCAAGAACAGGTCCAGCATGGGCAGGAACAACTCCCTCTCTACAGAGGAGAGCAGCTCCACTGATAACAGCCCCAGTGTCATCAGGCGGGCCTCAGAGGGGCTGGTTGCCACACGGAGCTTTAGCGTGTCCTGTTCTCCCATCTGCCCTCTGGAGCTGGCCCACAGCCGGGAGAGACGTGTGGGAGAGAGCGCTGTGCTGCTGGACAAGGGAGGCGTGCTCAGGCTGGCGGCCGAGTACTGCTCCGAGAACGAGAGGCTGCGCCTCCGCCTCATCAGTGCCGAGGGTCTGTACGGGGACTCTGTAGAGCCCAAAAACATCAACTGCTGTATCACCTTCTCCCTGGTGCCAGGGAAAACACAAAAGCAGAGAAGCACTGTTATAAAGAGAAGCAGAAATCCTATCTTCAACGAGGACTTCTTTTTTGATGGTATTGCAGAAGAAGAGCTTTACAGCCTGTCTGTGAAGATGAAAGCTATGAATAAAGGGTGCAGTATGAAACGGGATTACACCTTAGGAGAACGGGAATTGTCTTTAATGAATATGTTGTCAGTGTAATACTCAAAACTTGCCAACAGGTTGGTTTTGTTTCTGAATGTTTTCTACTAAATAAAGTTTTGGGTTGACTTTTTTTTAAAGAGTACTTTATAGTACTGTGTTGCTTGGTATTGCTCTTATGCTGTTGTGCTTCATTTTGCTGCTTAAAACTTCAAACTTTGTGTATATTTATCGTTAAATTAAAAGGTGGCTGTGGAACAGACCTTCTGCACATAGAGTAGGGCAGAAGTGCTGGTTTGCTGGTAAGATGAAGGATTAGGCAGTTACCAAGTCAAAATTGTTCTTGCTTATGGTTTTCAGGGTGTGGAAGGGTTATTTTTCACTGGCTCTGTCCCTAAGCAGGTCACAGCGTGTGCACACAGTAGGCACTGAACTCTGTTGCAGCTCCCAGGCACTACATCAGTTAAGCAGACCATTTTGACAGCACTCACATTTACAGAAATTAGTTTTTATGTGTTCTGGCAGCTGGAGAAAGAGAGAAACATTGTTTGGGATTCAGCCTTTCTCCTACAATGCTGGGAGAAGATTTGGCCTCCCAAAGCAGGTCTAAGTTTGTGTTTATGATAAGAAAATCATAATCTGAACTGCAGCTAAAAACCACTGCAGACTGGGCTCTCTTTCCCTCCACATACCTGCACTATCAACACCGAGCGGTGAGGTGGCTCTTGCCTAGAGTCACTGTGGTGTGGAGGAGTGTTGTAGCACAGTCAGCATCTTCATTCCCCTTTCCTTTCCATGATTGGTTTTACAGTTGTCAGTGTGAAGGTGCCAGGTAGTTATGTTTTGGCCAGGAATGTACCAAGGAGCTATAATCCTCAGAAATTCAGCTATTGAATCCTTTCTGAGACTGAAGCAGATAGCATTAGATATCATCACTGCAAGGGCAGAGGATAGTTTGGGATTTCTGGACTGAACTTCTGCTTCAGCTCATGACTTGTTGCATACCATATTCAGGTCATTGTTCAAATTAGGATAATCTTTCTCAGTCCTGTACCAGCAAACAGCAAGTGGTTCAGGCACTTGCTTTAACACCACAAGAAACACAAAGGTGCAGAGCTCCTGCATGCTCCAGGCCACCTTCCTTTTTTTTTTTTCTTTTTTTTTTCTTTTTTTTTTCCCCCCTCTGCTGAGGTGGACTGGGGGGTAGGCAAAAGGGATAAACTTGTAGAAACTGCAGCTGGGTGAATGGGAGGAGGCAGAAACCCTATCTTGAAAGTCCAGGCCTGTTGTCCCCTCCCCTGATTAAGCTGCAGGCTTCATTATGTGAAGATCGATAAGCCTTAATGGAGGATCACTACACACAGGCATGGGGCACAGAAAGGGAAAGTTTTCAGCCCTGTGAGGCTGTAGAAACAGGGCCTTGCTTGTGTCACATTTACAGCTTAAAACCTCTTTCAAAAAGGTTTCTAGCAGATCTCCACCTTGCCCTATTCTAGGAAGAGTATAACTGCTGGAAATCATGGGACTATTCAAAGGAGGTTCTGGTTTCAGACTGAAGTACCCCAAGAAGGTATTGTTTTGGTTTGGTTTGGGTTAGGTTGGTGTCTTTTTTTTTTTTTTTTTCCATTTCTGATAGAAGGAAAAGCCCAAAGGATGTTAATTGTGATCATGAATTCTCAGAAATGCTCACTGCTAATCCGTAAGCCAGCTCATGTGAGATGCTTCTAAAAACAGAATCCTCACACAAAGGGCAATTTGCACAGGAGAATGGCTGGGCATATTCCCAGAAGATAATTAAAATCAAATGGAATAATAAGTCCTTTGTGCTAAAGGAAAAAATTAAATGTACTGACACACTGTACAGCTAGAGGTGAGGCACTGACATTTGTATCCTTAAATCTGAGCAAACTGGCTATAAGGGGAAATCTAAATCAAGTGGGGAGAAGAGACATTTAAAAAGATGTGTTCAAGGAAGAATCAGTAATGCTGCAAAAAATTAAGCCTGTTTAATTTGCTATTGCATGTGGTCTCCTGCGGGAAGGCAGAGGTTACCTCTTCAGGCTCATCACTTGTCCACCATCACATTTTTAGTTCTTGGGACTTAAGGTCTCTTTACAGGTATGCTCACATGGCGAAAGAGCCTGAGATAATACAGAAGAGAACGGTTACATGTGTCAGAGGACCATGTACAGTCACACTACAGTGGACATCTCTCTGCCCTGTGATATGCAGCATGCCAATGCTGTACTGCAGGGACACAGAACGATGGAATGGTTGAGGTGGGAAGGGGCCTCTGGAGACTGTATCATCTTGACTCCTGATG